GGCTAATGCACTACGTGGCTATCACCGCCACGTAGCCCTACTCACCTACCTCCTTTGGCTTTTTTAGCTTGAACTAAAATTAACTTCTAGATGCAATCATCAGGGTTAGTATCCTTGGAAAAGTATATGCTTCTACCAGGTCCGGTCTTTAAAGACTAAACATAGAGATTCTAGTAAATCACCCCGGGGGATCAGACTTGTTTGGAAAAGTCAAAGTGGGGCTGCCACCTCAGAGGCTCCAACCTTAGAGAATCCTCCTTATAGACAAATCCTGTGCTTCCCCACAAGAATGGGCTCTGCTATTATATTTCACATATGTGGTGCTAATTTTATGCTAATTAAGTCATGTATGTGCTATTCATTAGTTCAGCTGTGCTGTGTAAGTTAAACGTTTGTTCAAATCTCAAGTTGCCTTTAGCAGAAGAAGGTAAGATGGTTGTGTGGGAACGCCTCATTGCTGCATGGCATCAAGCTCATCTACCATAAGAAGGCGGGTTGCTGTTTCTCTTGCATTTTTACTAACATATTTGTGGCCTCAGCTGTCAGACAAGTTTTGTTTTTCTTGTCTGGTCCTGTTTTATTTTAGGCTTTTGATAAACAGGAATAGCTGTTGTTATACTCTAAGGGAATGTTTGAAGAAACTATTAAACAAATTGAGAACTGAGAGTTTTATCCAGAAAGGATTTAACTTTAAAAAGGGAGGAGTTGGGGGGAGAATCAAGATAATCACACAATTCTTAATATTTAGGATAAAAAATTGGAGTCTTTTAAAATATTTTTTTCCCCTTCAAATCTCAAATTTGCTGCAGAAGCACCAACTAGTTATTTTCCTAGTTGTTTAAGGCAAGTGTGACACTTGAGGTGATGAGCTTGAGTGCTATCAGTTTTCACCCAGGTCTAAAAAGTCGCCTGTAGTCCAGCCCTCCCATGGGTCCTGTGCATGGCCAGTTCAGCTAACCCTATCGTGGTGCTGGGGGAAAGAGAGTATGGTGAAAGCCAAGTGCTGAAGGAAGTCATGCCCAGGCTTTATTCCCTGTCCTTCAGACATGCCATGCATGTTTTGGCCTCCTTGCCTTGTGCTAAGATTTCTCCGGATTGAAATGAAGTAATTTCTTCCTGAACTATTCTGTTTTTTCTGAATTTTGTAATGGTTGGCATTTTGTTTTTGTAATTGGGTATTGTTAGTGAGTTTTCCATGTGCCTATGGGTTGCCTTCCAAAATTGATATTAAATTATCATAGATTTGGCTGTGCCTCCTTTACTCCCAGTTACTTGCAGACTGAGAAGGTGGGTTGCTGTTTCTCTTGCATTTTTGCTAACATGTTTGTTGCCTCACATGTCAGACGAGTTTTGTTTTCTTAGTTGGCTGGTTGTATGCACAATGCCAGTCAACTACCTCCACTTGTTATGGTTTGCACTAACAGTGGAGATGTTTTCAGTCATTAGGAACCTCCATGTGGATGGTCTTCTTATCCTTGGCTATTCCTGCTGACAGGATCCAGCAGTCCACATGGGGCCATGATCTTGCTTGCTGTGGTGTGCTTTTCTACTGGGGGTGTGTCATGGTTCTGACATCATCACTGGACTCTGGTTTGAAAAGCTGTTCTGAGTAGATGATGTCGGCAGAGTTCAAAACTCTGCTACTGCGAGGACACATGTTTACAAACATATGGCTAACAGAGCACGTTGTAGGAAGGTTAGGCAGTTTTTAAAATTTTTATTGATTTTTAGAGAGAGAGAAAGGAATAGGAGAGAGAAACATTAATGAGAGAGAAACATCTATTAGCTGCCTCTTGCACGCCCCCTGGGGATTGAGCCCACATGTGCCCTGGCTTGTGCCCTGACCAGGAATTAAACTGACAATCTTTTGATGCATGGGAGATGCTCAACTGACTTGTGCAATGTCAGACCACTTAACTCAAAATATTTTTATTTATATAAAATATTTTATATATTTTATAAAATATATAAAACGTTGATTATATATTTAAAATATAAAAAATTTGACATATTTTATAAAACATATAAAAGGTTGGTAACTTTGGTTAATAAAGTTATATAAGTTTCAGATCTACAGGTCTACAATACATCATTTGTATATTGTATTTTGTGTTTACCATCCCAGGTCAGGCTTCCTTCCGTCATCATTTATTCCTTCTTTACCCTCTTTTACATCCCGCCACCCCCTTTTCCCTCTGGTAATCACCATACTGTTGTCTGTGTCTGTGAGTTTTTTCCTTCCAAAGAGACATTTTATTGCCCCTTTTTGTGTGACTGCTGAAATAGTATGTGCCACTAGATGCTTTTGTCATTAAAGTCCTAAATTTTGTCATTAAAGCACTGGATTCTTATTGCATCTACTCTATCTGTGCATTTTTAAAATTCTCACCCAAGGATATTTTTTCATTGATGTTTAGGGAAAGTGAAAGAGAGAGGTAAAGACAGAGAAATATCGATGTGAGAGAAACATCGATTGGTTGCCTCCTGCATGAGTCCTGACCAGGGCCTAGACTGGGTAGGAGCCTGGTACATGCCCTTGACCAGAATGGACACTCCATCCACTGAGCCAAACTGGCTAGGGCTATCTGTGTATCCTTAAAGCTTCATAAACTAGCTTTGCTCCTCTTTGTAACCAACCCTTTCTGGTACAAGTTACAAGTTTTACTGTTTTTGAGATAGTCCATTTCATACTTTAATTACTAGTTATGTAATTATGTTGTGCTTAAATTCTCATAGAGTTAATTTGTTTACTTCGATGCAAGATTTTTGTTAACATTTTACTTTTAAATATGCTACAGAATAGTAATAGTAGAGACTGTGGTATGTACTTGCTGTGTTTTTTGTTTTAGTGCTTAGATTGTTGTACTCTTCTCCCCCCCAACCCCCCATAGTATGTACTATAATTTTCAAAAGGAATAATTGAAGGCACAGATATGTAGATTTCAAATACTTCATAGGGGAAAACTTTATAAGGGCAGAAAACTAACCATATATTTAAGGAATTAAGAAATAATGTGGCACTGATGTATATAATCTCCTTTACTTGTAGTTAATAAGGTGTCTTTGAGCTCCCATTTAAACAGTCCTCATTTCATTTGCATTTGAAATTGACCAGATTGGCCTAGGTAAAATCTTAGGTCACATTAGGGACTTTTGAACCACATTAGGGACTTTCAGGAAAAATCTGAGTGCCAACAAATTTCGAAACAAATAGATTAATAAAAGAATACAGATTGCTCTTTGGCTTGAGATAATCAGTAACGTATTTCAAAGCATTCTATGGGGGTGTGAAGCTATCATTATGAAAAAGTTCCTGTGCTTTCATATACTAGACTAAATATTCTAGGAGAGTAGGGACCATATATTTGTCATCTTTGTGTCTGGTTCAGTGCCTGCCACATAATAGATGCTTCGTAAATATTTGAATGAATGCATAACCTCCACAGCCCTGTTAGGACAATAAATTGTAACGATGGACATGTACATCCTCAAAACATTGTTGTAAGTGCTATGGAGGTGTAGGATAGAAAATAAAGTGGGAATGCAGACTGATGTTGCAAAGAGATAGGATGTTAGGAATTGAAATTTGGGTAAGATTTTCTTTCACTAGTTAAGAGATGGGGAAAACTTTTCAGGAGGGCACAAATAAGCAGTAACACATTTGAGTGGCAAGGAGATCCCATAGATGACTAGCTGATATCTTGGTGTATATGAATCTACACATATATGCCCTTTGTCTGTCTGTTTTGCTCCTTTCCCTGCTGAAAACCTTTCCTAAAAGCTGACATGTAATCGGTGCCTGCAGAGATGTTCTTGGTAATAAGACTCAGGTGCACTCTGGTCTTTGTCAAATCTTTTGAAGATATTATCGTGGCTCTTCGTAAACGATAGTAGGAGTGTCCTGGGAGGAAAAGGGAACCCCACCTCTGGCATCAGCAGTCCTCAGGAGACATGTTCCTTCACTCTCCCAAGTGGGTATGGTCTGAGTCACATTCTGAGTACCGCCATCTGGTGTCCACTGCCTTGAGCCACACTTACTTCGTGATGTTACAGTGCTGTGTTACTCTCAGCTGGACCCCACGGAGTGTGGTGCTGGATTTGAGTATAGGAGCCTTAAAGTATAATACAGCTGGATACCCATTTGCTCAGGTTTCAAAAGAGGAAATCTGAGGTAGGTGCAAATCCTCTGAAAAATTTCACTAATTCCATACAGTCTTCTTCTCTGTATGAGCTTGAGAATATTTCTTTTGATACAGTCATGTTTAGTATTGCCAGGTGTAAGGAATTAATCATGTATTTTAAAGTAATTTGAGATATTTAAGAAAAATTTGGAGGTGGTTTTGGATAAAGTAATATGAGTAGGGAGTGGAGATCTGCTTTGGGGTCAACTTTTTGTTGGTTCATTGTAAAATTCTGAGCCATTTAGAGTTGATCATGTTTCATTGAGGGTTTCTTTACAGCTCAAATTCCCTTTTGTCTAACTCAGTCTCTCTTGTTTGCTAATAGGAGAGTATAAGATATGTGAGGGTAGGTTTTTCTTTTGTGAGGTTGGATGACTAACCGTAGGGATCTCTTGGGTTGGTTATTTCTTTTATAGATACTAGAAAAGTCTTCAGCATTTTAGTTCGCTTTAAAGGCTCTCACACCACATAGTGGTTAATGTCTTAGCTGCACGTGGTCTATGATAGGCCATAGAGTGAGTCTGTAACTTCAGGCATAGAGGCCTTATTTTAATGTTCACAGATTGTTTTTTCTGCAGAGTTGGATCTAGCACTATCTAGTGCTTCCTAATCAATATATCTTTGATAGATAACGTGGTGTAAATGATTATTTCCTGATATTGAAATTAGTGAAATATATTAATTAGTGAGTGGTATATTTTTCGTTTTAAGGAAATTCTTTCTTTTTTTTAATAACAGGAAGTTCTCACAGTTAAAATGTTGCATTTTCTTTTTGTGATGCTAACTTGATGCATTTGATATTTGTGTTCCTTTGTACAGGATCCAAGCTACTGGATACAGGTGCATCGCCTGGAACATGGAGATGGAGGAATATTGGATCTTGATGACATCCTCTGTGACGTAGCAGATGATAAAGACAGAGTGAGTTCAAGTGTAGGGAAGCTGCTCTGAATGCCTGTTATGAAGACTGGGAGGGAGTGGGTAGGTGGGAATACTTTCCTGTTTTAGACACACGCACTTTAAAGAACATTTGGGCCACTCACTCTGGAATATTTGTTTTATAATAAGTATTATGAATTTTCACTACCCTGAACCCTAAGGTATAATGCTTTCCTTGATACCCGGGATGCAGTGCTAAGTTTTGGAATTTTAAAATTGTAACTAAGTGGATATATCTTAAAAGGTGTTTTTTCCCCATCTCCTTCTCCCTTCCCCTCCCCCTCGTAGCATCTTTATTGACAACTCTCAAGTCCCTCATTGTGATCATTATGTGTTTCAGTGTGCGGTACATAGGTTTCTGAGTTCTCATCCCCACTTTGGCTCATCCCGATAGCTGGCCTGTGGGTTGCACAACCTGGCTACAAAACCAGTGTGCAGCCCTAGGATCTCCCTTGTGTCCTGGGCTCTCAGAAAGCCATCTTTTCCTTCATGTTACTTGGGTGCTTTTACGGGAATGCTGTCTTTAATGAAGCCTGTTATTTTGGCATGGTGAATGTGGCCACCCACAGGCACTTCATTATTTGCTTGTACTAACCCTTTTGACTGCACCCTAAGTGGGGAAGGAAGGGGAAGCGAGAGAATAATAACTCTGCATTTTAAGAATTTGTGAGAGGATATTTATTTCTGCATATTAAAATCAGCAAATTTTAAAAAAAGTATTTTTATTGATTTTAGAAAGGAAGGGAGAGGGAGAGAAATAGAAACATTAATGAGAGAGAACCATTGATTGATTGGCTACCTCTTGTATTCCCCCCACTGGGGGTGGAGCCTAGTCATGTGCCCTTACCAGGAATTGAACTGGAATTGAACCTTGACTTCCTGGTTCACAGAGCTAAGCAGTCCATACATCAGTAAATTCTTTATTGTAATAAGGTGCTGTGACTTGAATAGGCTTTGGCCACACCCTCTTTTGTGTTGCCTTATAACAAATTGTAGAAAGGCTCAGTGGCATACACAATTGTGTCATCATGGCCATGTAATAGCACAAGTTAGATTAAACCAGCGAGGATATGTCCTGGGGTTGATGGTAAAATCCACTGGGCTCTGGTCCTGCTGGGAGCTCTCTCTTATTACTGGTTCTTTGCCTCATCCTTCATCCTCCTCTTTGCTTGGCTGTAAGCTGGGTAAGCACAGCTGTTATGTCTTGTTTGCTCCTACATTAACATGGTTCCTGCCTCAGAAATAGTGGGTGTCTTATATGTTTTCTTGAAATATTAAAAAAAATTAAAAATTTCAGGTACCAAATATTATGCACATTGAGGGATATCTGATTTTATTGTTTCTGTGGGCCAGGAGCACATGGTGTTAGAAATGCAGAATTTTTCTGCCCATTTGTGATTTGCTGTCATTTATCTCTTTTGAACTTTCCAGTGGGGCAGGAGTAGGTGACTTCCAAATTCTTTGCCTGCCTTCCACATAAAGACTTAAATTATAGTCACTTTATTGTGTGGTTCAGCTCCAAAGCTTAAGGCAACTACAGAGATTTATATAGGTTTTAAATAGGTTCCCTTCCCTAGACATAATATTATGTAGCAGGCTATGGTCATGCCTTTGTTTCAGTGCTGCATGATAGATGTTAGTGTCCCCATTTTATTATTTTATTTTTTAAAAATATATTTATTGATTTTTTACAGAGAGGAAGGGAGAGAGGGATAGAAGTTAGAAACATCAATGAGAGAGAAACATTGATCAGCTGCCTCCTGCACACCCCCTACTGGGGATGTACATGCCGAGGTACATGCCCTTGACCAGAATCGAATCAGTCTTCAGGCTGATGCTTTAGCCAGACTGGTTAGGGCTGGGTAACGCTTTTAACAGTAGTGCAATATATAACAACACTTTGTTGCCTTTAAATTTCCTGTGCTTGTATCATTTATCAGTAGATATTCTGGTTTACACTAATGTTTGATTATGTAGTCTCTTCAGCTTTGTAGTTTCTTTAATGATTGCTTTATGTGGTTTTTAAAATAATAATGGCATTGCTCTTGCTAACAAGTAATAAACTCTTAAGATTATTAGATAAATTAAAAAATATTTTCTTGAATATACTGCCTTTCAGTTCATGGGTTATGCTTATGTATGTCCTAAAGCTTTGAGTTTTGTGGGCTCTAGTTTAATAGTACCGGAGTATTAATTGTGTTGTGAATATTCATAGTATTCAATGCTCACTAGAAACCTAATTCTCCTTTTTCTCATGTATTTTATTTTCATGTTCCCTCCTCACACTCAGCTTCAGTTTAGTTAGATCTGAAATGAAGTGAAGGAAAGGTACATGTGTTGACTTTTGAGGGGATACATAAACACCTCTGATCTTTTTTCTGGAACAGAGAGGTGTTTTAGACTCATTTCATTTTCTTGTGAATATTTTGTCCTATATTTATCTGAGTAAAAGGTGTATATTTAAGCATTTGATCACTCCATTTCTCATACACTGGAGGCAGAGAATGTTTAAGGAGCCAAAGGATGGTCCTGCTAAGAGCAATCCTGTTTTTGGAGTACAAGTTATGTTTTGATCCTATCCTATAACCTCTGTCTATTTTGGCAAAGAATGAGTTGGAACCTTTGAACCTGATGTGTTTACTCACACCCTGCTGACAGAAGGTGTGTTGCTACACCCTGTTTTATTCCAGTGTAACTCCCTCTGCCCTGTTTAATTGGCAAAGGTTCTTTCATTTAGTGCAGTGGAGCCTGTCCTTAGTCTCCACTAAGCCTGGATCAGTGCTGCCATAAGCAAAGTCCTCAGTCCATGGAGTGTTACTTAGCGTGGGGTGGGCTCTGTCCTTATTTCCCACTGATTTTCATTTTGCTACTTTCTTGAGGACTTAGCCTAATGCAGGTCGAATATCAGGATTTGGGGACTTTTTATTTGAGGATCATTTTATTCTGTACTTAGTTTTGGAATCAACTTCCTATGGATTTTACCTTCCTTATAGGGTGAGTGGGCAGAAAGAGTGAAGAGAAAATTACAGAGAGGTATTACTTTTTTTCTGGTTCCTCTCTAAAGGTCTTATTTAGTGAAGGCTCTGAGATTTGCAAAGTCATTGAACCTCAAACGGGCCATTTCAGAAATCAGCCAAAAGTAGGTTGGTACAAAAATTTTTCCTCTTTAAATTTCCTTTGGAGTTGAAGAAAGTAATATCTTTTTTATTATTTATTTCATAATATTCTTTTGGAAAGGTTTCTTGATTAATTTGATCATTTTTTATAGCTTCAAAGCCATATTGACATTCTCTGTGCTGTCATTCAATTTATGGATGTTTATTTTTATTGTATGTCACAAAACAAGCAGTTGTAATATTATCAGAAGATTCTGATTAATATGGAATCTTCCAAAATACTATTTTAATCAGGATCCTCATGGTACTCAAACATGTTGTTGAATGAACTAGTTGACCTGTATGCATAAACAAAATGTTAGAATAAAAGCTAATTTGTGCTTTTATAATAACACTAAAGGCCCAGTACACAAAATTCATGCATGGGTGTGTGTGTGTGTGTGTGTGTGTGTGTGTGTGTGTGTCTGTCCCCATCCATCAGCCCAGCCTAGACCCTCTCCAATCTGGGATTTCTCTCGTAATCCAGGACTGCTGGCTCCCAATCGCTTGCCTGCCTGATTGCCCCTAACTTCCCTCCCCTGCTGGCCCAGTCACCCCTAACTGCCCTCCCTTGCCAGCCTGATCACCCCCAGTTGCCCTCCTTGCAGGCCTGGTTCCCCCCAACTGCCCTCCCATGCAGGCCTGGTTGCCCCTAATTGTCCCATGTCTCTCTCCCCCCCTCCCCCCCAAGCCTGGTCTCCCCACACAGCCTGCTGTTCAGTCATTTGATCACCCCTCAGTAAACTCCTCTGCCAGCCTGGTCACCCCACACAGCCCACCGTTCACTCATTTGGTCGTCTCTCATTAATCCCTTTGCCAGCCTTGTTGTTCAATGCAGCCTGGGTTAGTCCATCCAGTTGTTTCAGGTGTGACTGCCCCTAGCTTTTTATATACTAGGATTTATTATATAGAGGCCTGGCACACTAATTCATTAACTAGTGGGGTCCCTCGGCTTGGCCTGTGGAATTGGGCTGAAACCTGCTCTTCAATATCTCCCAAGGTGTCCTGGATTGTGAGAGGATGCAGTGCAGCCCAAGGGACCCCATTAGTGTACAATTGGGCAGAAAAAGGATGTGGGATGTTGGCCAGCCAGGGAAGGACTGCCGGAGGGCTCCAGGGCATGTCTGGTCTGACTCACTTAGTTCTAATCGGCTGAACCCCAGCAGCAAGCTAACCTACTGGTTGGAGTGTCTACTTCTTGGTGGTCAGTGCATGTCAGAGCGACTTGTAAACTGGTTGACAGTCTGCCCTCTGGTGGTCAGTGCACATCATAGTCAATGGTTGAGCAGCCTTAGCATATCATTAGCATTTTATGCTTTGATTGGTTGAATGGCCAACTGGACGACCGGACACTTAGCATATTAGGCTCTTATTATGTAGGATTATTATTTCCCATATGAACAACTGTATATCTACTTTTGCCCACCCAGTATTTTTGTCTTCACATGTATGCTAAATCCTGAGTACTTTTAGTTTCATCTTCTTTTTCCTTTATTTTTTTATTTTTTTATTATCATGGAGACCATGATGTATCAGAAACAAGTCAAGTATGAGAAATTCCTAATCTCTAATATATTTTCTCCAGCAGAAACCACATTCATAATAGATATTTGTGGCTAAGAATTTTCAACAATCCTGAATTATTTCAGTGTGGCAGATTTTATGTTCAGATCAATATAATTTGAGTTAAGGACTCAGTAAAAACCTGTTTTTAAGAAATTAAACAGAATATACAGAAAGTAAAACAGCAATAAATGAGGAAATTAAGGGTGCTGATCCAGTTTGCAAAATCTTTTCTTCTGTCCCTTTGAGAAACATGGAGTTTAT